GAAGTGATCACACTCAGAGAGAGCCCTGCTCTTCAAATGCAATGCAAGTCGGAGCCCTGTCTTAGAAGAGGTGGAGAATCCACCAGCACCACCACCATAAGTGCAAAAGGCAAGCTGTGAAAGGGGATGCCTAGACTAATTTATTAAAGGTGGAAACGGAACGGGCTCAGCAACAAATAATTCTCACAAATGAACAAATTAATTTAGCAGGGTCAGGTTAATCTAAGAATTCAGTTGCTGGAAAAACAGTTAAAAGATTAATGAAATGTACTTGATGACACTTAGTGTAGCTGTCGCAATAATGTTTTTCTTTCATAATTTTGTGTTATTTTGAGTTTGTAATGTTTGAGTTCGTAAGCAATAGCCTATTGTAAATTCTGTGTTGCACTTCTGACGCCGATTGGTTAGAGCAGTTGCGCCCAACCACTCGATCGCGGTCTACCAGTCGATCGCGGGCTGAGTTGCAGTTGATCACGAGGGGGGGGGGGGGGTGCAGACGAACACCGACGACGCGCTTTCTGCTCCGCTGATGGGAGCGCGCGGACGTATCGGCGCAGCGCGATACCGAGCGCGTTGTAAACGTGTCCATGGACAGGAAAGGGAACCTTACATTACTGTTGTGTTCTGCCGCCCCTCTTTTTCAATGGTAGTCTCCCAATTTGTTTGGCGTGAGAAATCGGAGGTGTGGCGTGAGAGCGTGTGAAACCGATCAAATGCGTGGGTCTCACTCTCACTCTTCAACCTGGATAGCTGTGCTGTTGAGAATGAGATCCTCACACTGAAGAATGACATTGAAATCCAGAGCAGCACCTGACATGAATGTCCAATTGGAATCTAATGCAGAAAGAGAAGTACCCCAACCTCAGACAAACTGCAGAGAATTTGACTGCACTTTTTAGATCAACATATTTGTGTGAGTCTGCCTTTTCACATATGAAAATCATCAAGTCAAAATACAGATCCACCATGACTGATGACTGGCACTCAGCTCTTACTGTCCGGACTATGAGAGACTAGCTTCCTCCTCTCAGTGTCAGAAAAGGTAGAGAAATGCCACTTTTCCAACTTGAATTAGTTCTTATAAAAGTTCAAAGAATTAGGCATTGTATTATTTGGGTTGTTTGTCTGTCGTGTTGTTACGGGCCAGTCCTAGGCCTACTTGTGCTTATTCTTTGCAAATTCACATTATATTACTTCAATAAATGTATCATGATTGTTAAAACTGTATGTGTCAGAAAACAGTGTCCTATATAGGTGCGCAATAAATTGTGGCTACGCTACGGATTTCGATATGGCTTGGTAGATCTCGATACACTATCAACTTTAAAAGTAGATCTTGGTTCAAAAAAGGTTGGGCACCCTTGGGTTAGAGCATTGCTGTAAACAGCGTGCATGTTAATCATGTGCTTAATTGGTAAAATGGCTCAGGTGCTGCCGGATGACTATGTTGATGTGTATTAATTGTTTTGGTGACGTTGTATGTTGTTTTTACTTCAGTTTTTCACGGTGTTTGCTGAAAAAGAAAGGAACGTGCAAAAATAACCATTGATCAAACAGCAGTGAAGCCTAGCTACTGTATCAAACAAATAACTTTGGGAGCAGTTACACTTAGACTGTTCAAACCTTTACATGTAATCCTAATTTTCAGGATTAAATTGATCCAGATTCCCCACTAAAGTTTTGTTTTTAATCCAGTTCAAAGGCAGGATTGGATTCCTGAATCTGAATCTTCAGGATCAGATTTGATCAGGTTTTTAGGATCTGATCAGGATTTAATCCAGTCACGAAGGATTAATCCTGTATGATCCTTTTGAAATTCCGGCCCCAGGGGCCGGTTTTTCAAAAGTAATCTGATCAGATTACGGCCATCGGATTGGATCAAATCGTGAAAACGGATATTTCAAAAAACCAAAAAGGAAGAAATTGGATTGGATCACGTAATTTAATCTTGTTGTTGATCCGGATCAAACCCTGAATTTGGGTTTTTCAAACTTTTTGGTAGGATTGGGATAAATTTGATCCCAATAATCAGGATTAAACTGATCCCAGCAGGAGGATGGATATCAGTAATAGGACTAGGTAACTAGGTAACTAAAATAATACAACATTTATATCATGCATTTTACAGTATTTATATTTATTCATCAATTTCACTTGAATTGTTCAACAGGAAGTACATAAAGTAGGTAGGCTTTGTAGGCTAGCAACCTTTCAGTGCAGCAAATTATAAATTATAAATATTTCGGCCCCATAAAATAGTCTACCAAATAGCTGTCAATATTGAACTCAAATAATAAATTTGGTCTTTGTTCATTAAACATTAATCACACTGACACAATCATCAGTCATGGACTTATCAAAATAGTGTCTAACAATGGCATCTCTTGGTCGTCCAGTCGGGCCCTCATTCTGCCAGAATGCCAGAGGTTGGTCAATGTCTCAAATGGGCTCTGGTGCATCAGGGACGTCATCACAGAGAGGGACTTTGCACCTGGTCGCGATGTTGTGTAGGACAATGCAAGCAAGTATTATGTTGCATGTTTTCTGTGGTTCCACTCTCAAGTAGTTAAGGCATGCAAAGCGCCTCTTCAGAACTCCATTTAAGCGCTCCATGGTGCATCTTGTTTTGCAATGAGCAGTGTTGAAGCGTGCCTGCTCAGGCGTGTTTGCAACCAGAAAAGGGGTCATCAGCCATGGTAGAAGAGGGTAGGCACTGTCTACTAATATGATACCATTTGGTCGGTTGGTTTGGAGCTCTCTATATAGATCCCTCAGGATGCGCGCATCATGGACAGACGCAGGCCACTTCACAACGCAGTTTGTGATGAGGAGCTCAGCGTTGCCCACAAGTTGAACGTTGATGCTGTGTCTCCCCTTTCGGTTTACAAACTCCCACTCATTCTCATGAGGCGCTTGTATGTGCACATGGGTGCAGTCGATTGCTCCAATAATATTGGGCATATTCCCCAAAAGAAAAAAATTCTGCTTGGACTGGATGATCTGGTCATCCTTCGGAAATGAAACAAATTCATTAATCAGGCTGGCCAGTGCAGCCATTGCTTGTAAAAGAGTTAAGCTGCCGTATATAAGTTTTTGGATTTCTAGTTTTGTGGCAGCTTGGCAATCCTCTGACCAGAAAGAAATAAAGTATCCTTCATTGATCCCCTTGGAAAATTGTTTTCTGCATTAAACGAGCAGTGTGTAAATTCAAAGAGATTCAAAGATTTTTATTGTCAGTTACACACGCCCTGTGTATTGAAATTCTTGTGCTTGCCTTTTCTGGAAAGCTGACCAATTTTAAAATAAAAATAAAAATACAATATTTACATAAATGTACGTAAAATAAAAATAAAAATGAGGTAAGGATAAGGCAGAAATGAGGTAAGGAGGAAAAGTGCAAAACTGAGCAGGTTGTAAAAGAAAAACTTAAATTAGATGAAATGTGTGCAATATAAATATAAATTAACAGTACAGTTGAATTTGAATTTACAGTTAAATGACCAATGTGCTGCAGTAAAGGCCGTCCAGGGAGCAGTTTGGGGTTAGGTGTCTTGCTGAGGACAGTTCGACACGTGACAATAGGAGAAATAGGCAAAAGTAAGTGGCACTCCAAGACAAACAAAACAACATGCACAACATGCTCAGCAAACCCAATACATGTATTAAATATATTTATAAAAATAAAACCCCACTCAGGTCAACAAAAAACAAGAGCCAGCTCGGCAGCCTCTTGTTGACTGCGGATCGAGAACCACATGGCTGCTATATTGAGCTGCCACAGATTTCCACTGCCACCCACCATCCAAGTAATATTCATTTTAGCTGAACAGATTTCATTTGAGTTTAAAAGAACCAGAAAATGTTCTTCTCTCAAATGTTCCGGAGGAGAAGCGTATCTTCCTAAATTAAATGGAATAAGAAGTAATTTATCTTCTCTGGATCTGTACTCACTCTACTTTACTCTATATCAGGAGTCTCAAATTACCTGGGGGCCGCTGGAGGCGGTGTTTGGGTGCGGCTGGGCCAGCGGTATTCCACAAAAAAAACTTTGCTGAAAAAATCCAAACTTCTCAAATGTCATTACTAACAGTTATTTAACTTCAACGGGTTTCTGAACATGAATAGAATATTGTAGAACATGAAGGGTTCTTCTGAACATGGCTTCTCTTGCCTACTTCTTTCTGCCAGAGACCTGGCAGCGCTTCCTCTCACAAGCCACATTTGGCTTGAGGGTTGTTGACTTGCCTGCGTTCCGGGACTTATTTGTGCAGATCCGGTACTTCTCGTATAAAAAGAAAAATGAATATTAAAAAGAGTTTTTAAAGAAATTATTAAAATAAAATATAACAATATAATGTAATCACTAGAAAATGACAGAGCCCCTGTTGACATCAGTGGATGAATAACTAATTTGTGGCCACGCAATAACAAGATAATTTAATAAATTATTTATAAAGCTTTCTTAACAACAGCATCACAATTTCATGAAATAATAACAAATGCAGACTTCTAAGATGAACCAAAATAATTATGCACATCGTCGTGTACAGTCAGGTACATTTAAAATGTAATATATAGTGATGTTTTTTGCATTAAACTGGATGAGGACAACCACACTAATTATCATCATATATGAATCTAGCCCTATCACAGCATTAACTGATGAATTTGCGATATCAAACCTTCTCGAGACCTTTATAAAACTGATTCAATGTGATGCAATACAACAGCCCTGAATTAAATATTTACCTGGGTAGCGTTTTATGCATATCATGTATTAGATGTATATGTATGGATGGATAGACAAAGGTTCTAGTTTCATGAGGAAAACTAACAAATAATTTATTCTCAGTACATATATTTTTACTTGATTTTTGTTTGCAATGCAAGACATTTCCTCTCAAACTGTTTTTTTGTTTCATAATAAAGATCTAAGCTCTACTTCATATGAACGCATTAGGTATTGAGAACGGGCCACTGATACCCGGAACTAAGCGGAAAGCAAACAGTTCCTAGCCGGACATGCAATGAGATGCACACTTAAACATGGCGGCCAACATAGAGCAAATTTTCCAAGATTTTATATTGAATAAGATCAGAGAAATCGAAGACCAGAATGAAGACAAAATGTATGTGAATGTTGTGTTGTGCTTTACGTTTAGTGGTAGTTAAAGAGTAGAGGAGAAGTAACGTTAATCATGACAGTTTTACCGCTAACATTAACGTTAATTGTAGATTCACAAGCTAATCTAGTTGTTGATTCATACTGTTAAACGTTGCGACACAAGTAGCAACATGATGTAGTGTATGTAGTGTATGTGAGTGAATTCACAAGACGGGCCACGTTAAACCGGGCCCGTTTGTGTTTGACGATAGTGTGGAAACAGCGGTAGTTTCTGATGAGGGCACACTCTTTAGTCGTTAGCTTTACATTCCATAAATGCATGAAGGCTTCTCTTTTGTTCTTTGACATGTGACATCATGTGAAGTTTCAAATAAAAGTCCTGAACAATAATAACACGTGTAACCTGCAGCTAAATATTGAATTAGATATTGTGTTGGTTCAGCATAAATTCCCCATGTTGATTGCTAGCCGTGGTATTGAAAATAAAATATTTAGGCTTTTTCTGGATTATCCGACGGTCTGTGCAGATTCATTGAGAAAACTCTCATTATTGGACATTTAGCTATCGTTGAACTGTGCTGAGGAGTAGAATAACGACTGAATAATTAACTCTTTCTCTGTCCCTTAGTGCAGCTGAAGGATCAGGTGATGTTAATAATATGGCTGAAGCAGAAAAAGCCCCTTCAGAAAGAAACATACCAAAAGAATTAAAGGCTGGTGGGTCACAGAAGAAACACAGGAAGCACAAAAAACACAAGAGTAAGAAGAAGAGAAGGAACCGAGAGAAGGAGAGCAGTTCAGAGTCTGGAGCAGAGCTGGAGGAAGGAACCAAACACCAGCCAAGGTGAAGCTTTAACACGCTAATTCTGCTTCCACACCACGCAGGCACACTCACTCACCTCTGTTCAATTTATTTCAGTTCATTTCCTTTTTTATAGCCCAAAATCTTAAATTACTGATTTGCTTTAAAGGGCTTTGCAGTCTGTAAACATGCAACATCCTCTGTTAGTAGTTGAGCAAACCGTTGGGGGGCGTCACCCTGTTATAATGGTATAGGAAACACAGTTTATTTTCTTACCATGTTAAGTGCATTGAGTAGCTTTTAAAACACAAAGTATCACTATCACATTATTCATACACTAGCTTGCAGTCCTCCCTGCACTGTGAGCATTCTACAAATACATATAATCTAAGATTTGATTATGATTTCTACAGATTAAAGGGATTGTTTCTTTTTTATGATACGTTTTGACTTTTAAATAAACTAGTCACTACTTTTTAGCGAAGAAACTTTTTTTGATTTACTGGTTCAAAAATGTATATTTTACATTTCCTGTTACTTACTGGTGGTTTTACATTACATTACATTACATTACATGTCATTTAGCTGACGCTTTTATCCAAAGCGACGTACAATAAGTGCATTCAACCATAGGGTACAAAGGTTTAGGTTTTCTATAATTCAGAGGAAAATCTGTGTCTAAGAAACCCTCACATGTGCAGTGTTGAACTGCTTACCTTCATGTGGCACATTTCACCTGACTAGCAAATTCCGAAACGTCATCATTAAAAACTTTGACACAAAGTAAAAGTTTATCAAACTGCTTTGTTACCTAAGTGCAGGGTTCTCAACATTTTCTAGTTTAGGGCGCTTAATCTGCTTGATAGCCACTCGCCCGAGTCCCGAATAAATCAGTTTTTTTACACTACTAGTCAAAAGTTTGGACAGTCCTTTTAATTACACTTTTCCCTTTTTTAGTTTTTGCTGCATTATAGGTTAATATTGAGGACATCAAAACTATGAATGAATACAAGGAATTATGTGGCAAACAAAAAAGTGTTAAACCAGAATATCTTTTATATTTTAGATTCTTCAACGTAGCAAATGTTTGCTTTGACGGCAATTTTGCACTCTTTCTTTCAGCTTCACAAAGTAGTCACCTGGAATGTTTATCAATTAACAGGTGTGCTTTGTGTCTGAGTCCAAATGTGAGGTTTTTGGTTCCACCTGCCGTGTCGTATGTAGAAAAAGACGTAGAAAAAGTGAGCGGATGGTTTCTACATGTGTGGTTCCCACTGTTAAGCATGGAGGAGGATGTGTGATGGTGTGGGGGTGCTTTGCTGGTGACACTGCACTTAACCTGCATGGCTGTCACAATAACTACTTTTTGTTGTGCGATTATTGCACCAAAAATAAATTGCGATAAACAATATTATTGTAATTTTGAGAACAATCAAGACATTCAATGATGGTTGTGGTTGTGATGAAATGCTAATATATCAGCAGTTTTTGACATACTCAGACCAGCCCGCCTGGCACTAACCACAATGCCATATACAATACAAAGTCTTACTTAAATCCCCTTTCTTCCACATTCTGATGCTCGGTCTTCAGCAAGTTGTCTTGACCACATCTACATACCTACAGTTTCATGTGATTGGCTTATTAGCCATTTGTGTTGACAAGCAGTTTAACAGGTGTATCTAATAAAGTGGCCGGTGAGTGTATGATACCAGTCAAAAGTTTGACTGACTTCAATTCAAGTGAATAACTAGGTGTGACCAAACTTTTGACCGGTACTGTATCTTCACTGTTGACAAAAAAAGGTTTGTGCCACCTTCAAATGTTTTTTTTGTTGCTTCACAGAGGAGGATCGCCCACAGAGCTGAACAAGGAGCGAGGTAAACCTGCCTCTTGTTACTGTGCATCATTTTTACACCGATGTGTTGATCAACTGTAGTGGAAAAAAACACTGAATACGGGACTGAAACGATTATCCTATAGCTATGCTATGCTATGCTCACGCTACCAATCAGACATACAGTCAGCAATTTCCTATCAAACTAGATTGACTGGCTGCATCACTATACTCCTTATGACTCCACATCATATAACTGTCCAAATTTTATCTCTAAATATGGTCATGTCTGTTTAACAAAACATGCAACGTGTGTGTCCAGGTGAGGTTGACGAGAGCAAGTCCATATGCAACAAGCGCTACTCAACAGAAAAGAGGAAGAAGAAGAAGAGAAGGAGGAAAGGAGAAGAGAACTCATCAGATTGCAAAACAGAATTTGTTTTAAAGCAGAGGGAAAGTAAGAGTGGTCAGTGCTCATTGCCAAGGCGGCGGGAGGACCTGCCTGATATCATCCCGAAACAGGTAAATACACCAAACAAACCGAGCTCTTCATTATGTTGATCTTTATGGATATTAAACACAGCTGTGGAATTATGGAACCAAAACTGCAAAATAATTGTAATACTCACACTTATATCAAGCTTCTAAAAATGAATGTTCTTACTTTTAGGCCTATGAGCAAATACATTTTCACAATCAATTTCAATTTATACTGAAGTCCGTAGCACGTCAAAATAGAAACTGTTTATGTGTGTGGTGGTTAGCCCTGTTGCCTCACAGCAACTGAGAATCAAAAGCAATTTATTGCCACATATGTTACACACATGGAATTTGACTACGTTATGGGTTCCAAACCACCCCGCAACCTTTCTGTGTGGAGTTTGCATTTTTCTCTCTGTGGCTGCTCTCTGGGTACCAAAGACATGCTTTTTGTGTGTCTCTATGTTAGCCCTTTGCTTGACTGGCGACCAGTCAGTATGTCCAAAAATTAATATCACAATATTTCTTAGGATTTTGGCGGTATCATGGTATATCAGTACTTTTTTAGTAAACACATTGACGCCGAAAAGGACCGCCAGCGACCTGAACAACTAGTAGACCTAGTCAACTCGCAAACTTTGCAATAAATTGTTTTCTGATATAACTTACATCTAATTTTTCAAAACCAAAAAAAACTTCAAGCGCGCGAGCTGTACCCAGTATGCAGTTTGGTGGTGTAATTTTATAAATGTAAATTAGTGTTCCAAATTGTTGTGTCATGGTACTTTACCCTGTTAAAGTGTTAGTTGTGTGTTAGCAATTGTTGTAAACAGTGACTCCATCTCAACACAAGTAAGACAAGTAGCTCGGATCACTGCGCCCTCAGCGGTGGACAATGTACTTTGCTGCCTGCCGAAGAGCACAGTTGTTACGTCTATGCACCGGTATGAAATCCTACCGTAAGGAAAGTTGCCTAGCCTATACCGCTTAGCCCTAGCGTTTCTCACCCATTGTTAGCTGGGATTGACTCAAGGCCCCCTCTGACTGACAGGACTAACTCGTTCAGCCTGCACCATTCCGACGCAATGAAGAGTAAGTCAGCAGACTGTCAGTGTGTCTGTCAACCCTCCCCATCTGAGAATAACTCAATACATAATGAGGAATGTGGGACTAATATTCTTTATTTCATTGGATATTGGGGGTTCTTGGAGCATTGTCGTGTAGCCTATATACAGTGGGGAAAATAAGTATTTGAACCCCTGCCGATTTTTTTGCCGAAGTTTGGCCACTTGCAAAGAAATGCGTGGTCTATAATTATAATGGTAGGTGTATTTTGACAGTGAGAAACAGAATATCAACAAAAAAATCCATAAAACGGTATTTTATTACATTTATGACTTTGTTTGCATTTGATGCAGAAAATAAGTATTTGAACCCCCAAGCAAAACATTACTTAATACTTGGAGTAACCCTTGTTGGAATGCACAGATGTCAGACGTTTCTTTGTAGTTGGTCACCAGGTTGATACACAACCCAGGAGTGATTTTGGTCCACTCCTCTTTGCAGATCCTTTCCAAATCCTTCAGGTTGTGTGGCTGTCGCTTGGCAACGCAAAGCTTCAGCTTCCTCCACAGATTTTCTATGGGATTAAGGTCCGGAGACTGGCTACGCCACTCCATGACCTTAATGTGCTTCTTCTTGAGCCACTCCTTTTTTGCCTTGGTGGTATGCTTTGGGTCATTGTCGTGCTGGAAGACCCACCCTCAACGCATTTTCAACTTCCTGGCTGAGGGAAGGAGCTTTTCGCCCAAGATTGCACGATACATGGCCCTATCCATAGCCCACTGGATGCGGTGGAGTCGTCCTTTACCTTGAGCAGAGAAATAGCCCCAAAGCATGATGTTTCCACTGCCATGCTTGATGGTGGGGATGGTGGTCATGGGGTCATACTCAGCAAGCTTCCCCCTCCAAACGTGGTGGGTCGAGTTTATGCCAAGGAGCTCGATTTTGGTCTCATCTGACCACACCACGTTCTCCCAATCGTCCTTGGAATCATTGAGGTGTCCATTGGCAAACTTCAGACGGCCCTGTACAGGCGCCTTCTTGAGCAGGGGGACCTTGCACGCACTGCAGGAGTTCAAATCCTTACGCCGCAGTGTGTTTCCAATAGTTTGGTTCGTTACTGTGGTCCCAGCTGTCTTGAGATAATCAACAAACTCCCCCCATGTAGATCTGGGGTTATTCCGCACCTTTCTGATGTCCCAGATACTGCACGAGACAAGATTTTACGTGGAGCCCCAGACCGAGGGCGATTGACCGTTGGTGCAATTATTCGCAAATGGAATCAATATCAAACAACAGTTGAGTGGCTCTCACCAAGCTGCTTTCCGATGCTTTTGTAACTCATTCCATTCTTGTGCAGGTCTACAATTTTTTGTCTCTGACGTCCCTGACGGTGCAAGGTGTAAAGTATGATTCTTTGGAAAGGTTTCTTTTATACACATCACCTATTGAGATCAGGTGTACCTTGTTAGGCCTAATGAGGACTAATCTGTGTGCTTCTTGGGCACATAACTGGTCATTGGGAGCCAGAATTCTTGCTGTTTGCTTGGGGGTTCAAGCAAAATCAAATGCAATAAAGTCATAAATGTTATATAATGCAGTTTTCTGGATTTTTTTGTTGATATTCTGTTTCTCACTGTTAAAATACACCCACCATTATAATTATAGATCAGAACCCCAATGAAAGGCTTTCCTTAAGCTAACTGCTAACCAGTGGTACAAGTGGAGAAGTTGGACACCCTCCTCGAGGGAAGGATTTGAGTTTTGAGTTTCTTAATTTCTACCAATTTGGCTTTAATCCAATGAACGCACACAGACCCTGCACGTGTTATTGGCACGCTCAGTTTCTGGAACAGTTTGCTTCTGTCGAGCTTGATAACCAGTAATAACATATTACTGGTTATCAATGAATTAATGTAATTCCTTTTTGGGATAATTCCATGTGGGAACATGTGAACAATTTGAAAAAAAGCACATGTTCATAATGAATGTGATGAATCCTAACAACATTATTGATACACTGATGACATACAGTGCATCCGGAAAGTATTCACAGCGCTTCACTTTTTCCACATTTTGTTATGTCACAGTCTTATTCCAAAATGGATTAAATTCATTATTTTCCTCAACATTCTACACACACCAACCCATAATGACAAAGTGAAAACAGTTTTTTGCAAATTTTTGCAAATCTGTAAAAAATAAAGAACGAAAAAATAACAGCCTTTGCCATGCCACTCAAAATTTAGCTCAGGTGCATCCTGTTTCCACTTGATTGGAGTCCACCTGTGCTAAATTCAGTTGATTGGACATGATTGAGAAAGGCACACACCTGTCTATATACGATATAACAGTTGACAGTGCATATCAGAGCATAAACCAAGCCATGAAGTCCAAGGAATTATCTGTAGACCTCTGAGACAGAATTGTATCGAGGCACAGATCTGGCTATGGGTACAGAAAGATTTCTGCAGCATTGAAAGTCCCAATGAGCACAGTGGCCTCATCATCCGGAAATGGAAGAAGTTTGGAACCACCAGGACTCTTCCTAGAGTTGGCTGCCCAGCCAGACTGCGCGATCGGGGGAGAAGGGCCTTAGTCAGGGAGGTGACCAGGAACCCGATGGTCACTCTGACAGATCTCCAGCGTTGTTCTATGAAGAGAGGAGAACCTTCCAGAAGGACAACCATCTATACAGCACTCCACAAATCAGGCCTGTTTGGTAGAGTGGCCAGACGGAAGCCACTCCTCAGTAAAAAGCACATGACAGCCCGCCTGGAGTTTGCAATAAAGCACCTGAAGGACTCTCAGACCATGAGAAACAAAATTCTCTGGTCTGATGAAACAAAGATTGAACTCTTTGGCCTGAATGCCAAACGTCATGTCTGGAGGAAACCAGGCACTGCTCATCACCTGGCCAATACCATCCCTACAGTGAAGCATGGTGGTGGCAGCATCATGCTGTGGGGATGTTTTTCAGCGGGAGGAACTGGGAGACTAGTCAGGATTGAGGGAAAGATGAATGCAGCAATGTACAGAGACATCCTCGATGAAAACATGCTCCAAAGCGATCTGGACCCCAGACTGGGGCGACGGTTCATCTTCCAACAACGACCTGAAGCACACAGCCAAGATAACAAAGGAGTGGCTTCGGCACAACTCTGTGAATGTCCTTGAGTGGCCCAGCCAGAGCCCTGACTTGACCGATTGAACATCTCTGGAGAGATCTGAAAATGGCTGTGCAGCGACGCTCCCCATCCAACCTGATGGAACTTGAGAGGTTCTGTAAAGAAGAATGGGAGAAACTGCCCAGAAATAGGTGTGCCAGACTTGTGGAATCATACCCAAGAGGACTTGAGGCTGTAAATGCTGCCAAAGGTGCTTCAACAAAGTATTGAGCAAAGGCTGTAAATACTTGTTTTTACAGTACATGTTATGTTTTCGTTCTTTATTTTTAATAGATTGGCAAAAAACTGTTTTCACTTTGTCATTATGGGTTGTTGTGTGTAGAATGTTGAGGAAAATAATGAATTTAATCAATTTTGGAATAAGGCTGTAACATAACAAAATGTGGAAAAAGTGAAGCGCTGTGAATACTTTCCGGATGCACTGTATATGACTCCATTGCATAGAATATTATAGTAAGATGAGGCCTGGCTTTCATTTCCTCTCCCAGGACAGCTCCAATAAAGGAGGAGGCGATGAGAAGAGACGCAGCAGAAGAAGAATTCGTTCCTGTTCCCGTTCCCGTTCACATTCCCGTTCACATTCATGTTTGGTGAGGAGGAACTCCAAACCCAGAAACCACCCCCGAAGATCCAGGACCCGGTCCAGGTATGAGGAACAACCATCAGTTGGTTGAACTCTTGAGAGAAATTAGTGGCTCAGTGGTCAAAGCAGCTTTGCTTGATCTCCGGCTGCAGCCGTGTGTTGAATTGTCTTTGAGCATTAAAAAAGCAGAAGTCCTATTTCATGTATGTACCTCTAAGTGATAAACAAATCTGATTTAACGTTTTGTGAATCATCAAGTCCTCATCCGTACTATGCTGTTCTGATAACCTGCCCATACTAGACATGTAGATAATGGTGACCCTTTAGATACTGTGGGAAAAGAATCTGGCGGCTTACATGCTAGATAAACCTCGTCATTGTGCCCGTTCTCACTGGGATGGTGCTTCATACTCCCATGACAGCTCTTCAGACAAGCGGGGAACTCTGGATGAATCCACCCAAAGTCCTTCTGAAGGCCTCCAGCTATCTCAGGTCATCGCAGCCGAGGAGCTGCCAGAGTCCCGCACAGAGCCACAGAGCCAAGACCAGAGAGCAAAGCCCCTGCAGAACCAAGAGAACTCGGCACCAAGACTAGGTAGGACATATTTGATAACCAGATCCTCCACGGTTGCATGTTTGTTAGTAATTCAAAAGGTACCATCGGGGTCGTCGTCGCGCAGGGGTAGAGAGGGTGCGCTGGAAACCACAAGGTTGGTGTTTCGAGTTCTGGCTGCCCCATGTGCCATGTCGAAGTGTCCCTGAGCAAGACACCTAACCGCTAATTGCTCCCCGGGAAAAATTGTAAAAAGCCATGGGTTAAAAATGCAATGTAAGTCGCTTTGGATAAAAGAGTCCGCTAAATGACATGTAATTTACTCAAATACAAAAGATTCAGTTTTTACTGGGGTTTCCCCAAAATCCGTTACTCTTAACAATGCATATTTTGAGGGATGATAAATGACCAGCCAGCCCTACCTTACACTCAATCAAACCCTTTTATAAAATTGTTTGGTCTCTAAGGTGTCTAAGTATCTTGTGATCTACTGTCAAAGCTGCAGGTTCTGTCGCACCCCAGTCAATCCTCAAACAGTCCATCTCAACTGAACCGGACCAGAACACTGAGCCCAGCCCGCCTCAGCTCAGAGCATCAAACTGCACCAGGTCGTCTGACTCTAATGTCAAATCCCCAGCAAACAAGAGGAAGAAGTCCCCACAAAGGAAAAAAGAAGCAAAGAGACCGCGACAAAAGTCACCGTGTCGGAGCCACCGAAGGGGATCCAGATCCAGGAGTCATTCAAAGAAGAAGAGGTCACGGTCCAGGTAGAGGCTGTGGTTTTCTCTACTAAGACTCTACACTAGTGGTATCTAAATTATCCAACATTATTGTGATACCAATAAATGTTGCACCTTGAATGCACCAGGAAGTCTTCCTCTTCCCTGAGAGACTGATGACATGTGCCCTGCCTGTTGATGGTCATTTTTACTGGTCAAATTTGGGCCGAATGAGCCCCCACAAGGACGCTCACCACTCCCTCACTATTGTCATCAGATTCCCCCAGACCCCCTTCCCCACCTCCGCGGGTCAAATCCATGACTTCCTGTAGTTCATGTTGTCAGATTTGGGTTTCAAACATTCATCCTCAAGAATACTCTCTGTGACTCTTTCCAAGCAAATGACAACACTACTACACTTGGCCTTTAATCACTAAACAAGACTGTGAGAACAAGGAACCTAAAACATTGAGCTCTCCAACCCAGTTCTATCAGTAGAACAAAGACAAAATCATCAACGTGTTAATAAACCTTCCTCCAGTCCTCTTGCCATGGTAGAAAACTGAACTTGATATCCAGATATGTTTTAGCCGTTTGCTTCATTGCAAATGAATTCATGGACGTTGTCTGTGCAGGTCAGGGGGTCGGCGCTCGCGGAGGTCACGCTCAAGGTCGGCGTCACATGGTCGGAGGAGGCCCACATACAGCCAGAGGGACCGCTGGAAACGGGAGCCAAGTCACTCTCCTGTACTCATCCTCCGCAAAAATAGATCCCCCACTCGGAAACTCTGCAGTTTGAGTAACAGCCCTCAGCGCGTCAGTGAACTGGGTCAGATGAAATGAAATCACTCTTCTGTACTTAAAGTTGTCATTATTTTTAAAAAGGTCTCTAGTGTCATGAATTCACTATCCGCCATAGTCACTTCCCTGAGTATCAAACCCAATACATGCTTTAATGCATCCTGATAGATAGACAACTGTGATAACAAGCTTCTGTGGTAAAGAGCACCAATATGAAATGATGATCCTTATTGGTTAGGTACAGGATCTGAATTATATTTTGTAGTTTTCATTAAACTACAACATATAGTTAAAATTAATTTGTAGAACATGCTTCATTATGTAGTTTTTGTGTTGTCAATAGTTGCTCATCTCCCAAAAACCATGCCAGGTATAAAATAAATTAGTTTAGATGTTTAAATATTTGGAAAATGGGTACTGTTTGGATCAGCCCCGATCAGAGCAATGCTGATTTCAATCCACTGTGTGGATGGAGTTTGCTTCAGCGAGGTATCAACTAATTACATTTGAATTATTTGATACCTTTGCCGTATTTATGTTTTACACTTTGTTTCCTCAGATAAGGACCAGTTGCTGGAAATTGCCAAGGCCAACGCTGCTGCCATGTGTGCTAAAGCAGGGATGCCCATCCCTGCCAGCCTCAGGTCCACAGTGCTTCCCCTGGTTCTGCCAAGTGTGGCCATGAATGCTGCCATGGCCAGTATGACGGCTGGTAGGACTTTTGACTCATTTTGTTCCCTCAAATCCGTCCATCTTTCCAGTCATTGGTTGTTCTGTCAGAGCTTGAAAAAGGGTTAGTTTGTCTGATTCAATGATGAAATTGATCATGTAAACCTTCCCGCAGGTTATAAAATGTAGTATTATTTGACACACATTATTTGTGTTGCTTTAATTGTATTACGTTTAACCCAACATATACAGAAAAATGATGCTTTTTAATCTTTAATCTTTTTTCCAGTTATTGAACTGTTTTGTGGTCACTACGGTTTTCCCCTCTGAAAGGCTGCAAAAGCCTTGCAGGTTTCCCTTACGTAGTACAGATTTATGTCGCTTCTGTCACTAAGTTTTCTGAGTTTACATTCTTCAAATAGGCTATTTTAAGTTGCCATGCAAGTCCACTTCTGACAGTCGACTAGATTGAAACTGTAATAGTTTCACATTGAGTTCTGTTTTGTGCTCCTATCTTCCTTAAAGCCACCATGACAGCAGCATTGTCTAACATGGGCATCTCTTCACTGCTCTCACTGCCATCCATTACCAACAAGCCACCTCCGGTCTCCTCCCAATCCAACATGGCTCTAGAGGAAGTCAAGAGGAAAGTAGCCAAGCAGGCCAACAGCATCAGCATCAAGGAGTTTACCGATGTAAGAGAATATAGTGCATGTGATATTTACTTTATCTACTGGAGTTTCACTGCCCACAGAGAGCAATCTACTGGATGTTATAATCTTGAATGTGAAGACAATCTCGAATATCTCATCTGTAAATAACAGATACAGGCCTACACTTGTTATGATCTACAGCCTGTTATGATAAACAAATCAAAATGGACTTGCTTTCAAGCCGCTATCTTCGGCTCCGGTGAGGGGACGTTTTGGCTGTAAAAAGAAAAGCGAGCCAATACACGTTAAGGAGCCAGGCCTGTGTCCCTTGCACTTTTTTATTCACAAAGGTGTATTTATTTTTATTTTAGGATATATTTTTTCACATTCTGAGTCTAAATCTTCTGCAGAATAAAACATTCTTTCTTCTTTTAAAGAGCGTACTTGCATTACTATGCTATTACATTGTCATAATATTATCTTTTTCTCAATTAATTCTTGTGCAACATATTGAAATCAAGCTCTCAAATTAAAATCATGTCCTTGTAAAAAAAGCTCATACTGCCCCTCATTCTCTGAACACTACACTGATCGCGTTTCTGTTATAATCCGTAATCAAACATGCAGGGAGCCCCCTCATCCTCATACTGTTTTGGAGGCTCCTCTGGCAAGTCAGTGGATTGAAATGGTGTGTGTGTTTTTCAGAAATGCAAGATGATTGTGGACAGTAAAGGAGAGTTGCCAGTGGCAATGCCGCATGTTTCAGACGAGGAAGATGATGGGAAACCTTTTGGAGGATCAGCGCTTCGGGAGCAAAAAGCCATCAGCTTCAGCATCAATGTAATGTCCACACACAGACTTCACGTCCTATATGAGTTCACTCATTACCACAACAGACCTACAGAGAATACAGGGTATTCGGGATAGAACCTTTCGTTACATCTTAGAAAAATTGAATGCTATCTAATACTGATGAAAACATAAAACAAATTAAAGCTGCGAGCAGCGATGGATAGGTCCTCGCTGCTCCGCGCATGTCGGGGCACTTGCCGGATGCCTATCAACACAGCCGAGAACGCCTGCGGCAGTCGGACAAAGTTTCTGTGAGTCAATTGTCGTTTACGAGCGAATGGCGTTTTGCAACTTTATCTTTTAACATTATCAAGGATTTAGGTCCGACCACACTTTAGAGGGAGCAGGGTATAAATAGAAAAAAGATGTATCTTCCTGCTATAACTAAGATTCAAAATGATGATATCAAATTATTCATGGCCGAGTTTAAACTGAGAAAATCTTTGCTCATAGTTTCATTTTTTTTTTCTCAAGCTTTTTAAAGGCAAAGGTCTCAAGATCACACTACCCAAATTTGAAAGAATCGGGTTTAATCTCTGGGGAGAGTTTGGTCTTTAACAACTCTAAAAGACGATGAAAATGGGCAAAAAATGCAGATATTCAACAATTAATTATATAAATATGAGGGCAGGGAAAAAATGAACGTAAACATCACACACAAATCGAAATGGCCTACATCCGGTACAGTTTCAGGCCTGGAGTTACATCAAAGATGTGGAAATTGGAAAGGATTTGATCAGGATTTGAGTTACAATGGTTTATATTTTCTTGTCGACTGTTCAACTTTGCCGATGCTCCAACTCGCCGCCCTTTATTTAATTCTTATAATGTTCACAGTGAAGCCTTATCAAGGTCTTAGGTCTTTTCCCTCAACTTAGGAGAGGGATCAGATTAACCTGTGAGGAGCAGGGGGTAAAGAAAAAAGCATTCAACTTCCGGTTGCCACCCAGTGGCGCTATGCCTAAGGCTAAAAATGATCATATGGGTGCTACAGGGTAAGGAGTTCATGCTGTAGGAGACATTTGGAGCAGATTAGATGAAGTTGTTTTAACTTGACCATACTTTAATTTTCACATGTTTACTGTCCGTTTGACATCTGGTCAGGTTGATCTCAACAGTGAATGACGGTGTGTATATATATGGTGCTATGAAGTTAAGTGAATGAATGGATACCTTTATTAATGTAACATTCCTACTTGTGCCACTCATCGGATAAAACCCTAAATCCGGGATGTCAAACTGATTTTAGGTTTGGGCCAGACCCTAAAAATCATAGGGGGGGGGGGGGGAGACCAAATGGAACAACAGCGCTGCATACCGGGAGCGCAAAACAAAATCGATATATAAAAAAACCACAACAAGCCCTCTCGTCTGTCAGAAGTGACTGTGCACTTTTCAATGGAAGGGATCTACCGGCACTGCGTTGGTGAACCACCTGGGGCCTCATTTATAAAAGCTTGCGTATGATTTGCGCGAGAAGTGGTGTACGGATGAAACATAGGACGTGCGTACGCACAGAAATATTCAAAACCTACGCAGTTTTCCCTTAATAAATCACTTCTAAATGCAGCGCAGCTTTTGCGGCTTCATGTCACGCCCATAGTTGCCCATATATAGACTGTGGAACGCCCACAAATTAATATTCATCGATTGCTAAATCATGACAAACACTGAGAGGAAAACGAAGAAACGTAACTTCACTCAGTGTCGAAATGATCATTGGGAGGTGGAAAGGAGACGTAAAATGCTTTTTGGAGGGCACAGTGTGGACATCACTGATGCCTAAAAGGCACCTGAGTGGCAAAAGGTTGCAGAGCAACGCTGCAGCCTCACAACCTCGGACTGTGGCCGAAATAAAGAAAAAATGGTCTGACATCAAAGTGGATGCAAAAAAGCGTTTAGCGCGCCATCGCCAAAGTGTGTCTGCCACGGGGGGGGGTAAAGGGGACACCGGAGCTGTCCCCTCTTGATGAGAGACTGGCGGCAATGATTGGGGATCGGGGACAGGGTCTGGGCCAACATCGGCGTCAGGGGGGTCGAGGCACGTTTGGAAGCTGTGCCACATTATGTAGCACAGCACATGCCAGCACGATTTTGCACACCTGTTCAGGAGTAAACAATAACCTCCCTCCAGTGCAGTCGAGGCAGCAACATCTGCCCTTAAACAGGCCGATGGTGCGCTGCACTACAGCACCAATCCTTCCATTTGCCACATCTTCTAAGAGCGCAAGATCAGCCATTTTGCATCATTACGCATTGTGACGGCATCGTGGCGTTTTATTACCGTCCATTTGATCGCATCTGACAAGCAACAGCTGTGTTTTGAGGACGAATTGCATAACATGCCAATATTATTGCAGAACATATTTCCCTTTTCTTTTTGAAAATGTGTTAATTTGTATTTGTTTTACACTGCAGATCGATCAAACGGGTGTTCGTGTTATTTATGAGAGGCAGTATTGGCATTTCTTTTACACAACAGTCTAGTTTTACACACTTTCACACACGTTTGCGTGTTTCTTGCATTTGCCGACGGTTCTCATTTCACCCGTTTTTGTGCGTACGCGTGGGTCCGAGCTTGCGTGAAGGACCGCACATTTTTCCATCAAGTTTGCTTTTTATAAATACCAATTATTGCGTAGAGAGCGACGTTCGCCTTCTTTTGTGCGTACGCAACGTTTATAAATGAGGCCCCAGGAGTTTTGGCAATTGGCAGGCAGCATATGCACGTGCCTGACCACCCAGCAGCAGACCCCGACGACATATCCTTGACCGGCTTCCCACCTTCAAACACTGGTTTGATACTTGATACAAGGAAAGGCATGATCACTGAAACTGGGTCGCCGCTACTGATCTCTGCTGCCACCCAGACCACCGCTTCTGTGAAGGCATCAATAGCTCTTTTACTCTAATTCACGCACATATATATTATAATATTGTGCTACTGTTAATTTTGACCCGTCTTTGTGACGATTGGTCATAATAGATATCACGGGCGCTGACTAAATGTGAAGAAAATCTTTTATATCGGGACTATAATTATGCAGGAGTAGAGATTATTCCTAATTCGACCACTCAATCTTATTGGAAGGGTCTTTGGTGTTTTTCCACCTTTAATTATTATTATTATTAAATTATTGCGTAGAGAGCGACGTACGCCTTCTTTTGTGCGTACGCAAGGTTTATAAATGAGGCCCCTGATCTACCTGGTCTATCGCGTGCCCTCACTCACAGAGTGCGATCCCCAGTGGACGTTTTAGAAATAGCAGCTACTTTTATAGAAATGCAATTTATGTCTTTCTGTAATTCTCACAACAGCAAAGTCATCTGGCGGGCCGCACTGGACCCTCCCCCCCACGCCGGATTCGGCCTTCAGTTTGACACCTATGCCCTAAATAATCCGTATCCGTATCCACCATATGTTTTCCTCCAGAACACCACAGTCCGTCCAGCTGTACGTAGTGATGCAGGCATGGCCAAGGAATTTCCTGTGTCTTCTGGATCACAACATCGCAAAAAGGTCTGTATATCTCTGTGGGAGTTCTAAATACTGAACTTAAATCAACTGTGATGAAATAGAGGATTAACGTCTACATGAGCAGAGACAGACGTCCTCTCTCTGTGTCTCTTACCTGTGTGTTGGAAGTCCTAGATCTCCTCTCTGTGTTCACAGAGCCGGCTAACCACTTGGCATTTTGTGTATGTTAGCGTTTCGTAAATGTTTGTGACCTTTTTAAGAACATTCACCCCTGGAGGGGGCCAGCCAGCTCACCTGTTGAGAGTATTGACCACAGAGCATGTGAATGAGCCCAGCAGAACTGTCTTTTCCCTCAACTAGTTATCAATTACAAACAATTAATCAACTGTTGGAAACAAATATATCTGAAAATACTGCAATGCAATTATACAACGATGCTTTGTTATTAATGGGATGTCTTGTGACCAGGAGGGCGAGGCTCTAGGTGCCTATGGAGAATGGGTTCCGGTTGACAAAGCAGCTGAAAAAGCTGCAGCGGCCACGAGAAAAGCCCTGGCCACTGTTGCCATAGCAACAGCCACCTCATCAGGTGAAACGACGACACCAGTGTTACCAGAGGTTGTTGAACAGCTTGAGTTGGAGCCAGATAATGACAGTGTTTTCCCTGAACAACTCCTGCAGGTGAGAAGTGGAAGTATTCTGTATATGTACATTGTAAGAACAAAAAAAATAATAATAGATTAAAGATGCAGAGGTGGATATTAGGACATTCTGCACAAAAAGTACCAAACGGTAAACCAAATTAAAGTTACTTTTGATCCACTGTCAGGATATGTAGTAGTGTAGGGTAGTCAGCAAATATGTTGCAAACCCTGTGCAGCTCCCCATGGACAACATGGAACCTTTTCTTCTACTGTCCAGGTTGCCCACACTCAACAACCTGTGGATTTATATGTTAAAAATTTGAATTACACCACATCCAACTAGTTGACATGTTCTGCAAAAATCAGAGTTGAGTTCTATTTTATAGCAGGGTGATGCTTGGTAGTATTTGAGTGCAGCAGGATGGATACAGATGAACTAATGACAATATTTCAGTAAGCACTAAAAAACACACAAACATTCAGTTATCAAATTCAATTGTTATATTTTGCGAGCTTGCTAAATATAATGTTGTCTGTCCCTGTGTTATAAAGGTTAGTGCTGACTCGTACCTACCTGTCTTGTCTCTGCAGCCAGTAGATATCTCTCAGGCTGTAACGGAGAGAATCAAAGCACAGAGACGATTGGCTGAGAACCCTTATGACGTCAATGCCATCTGCATGCTCAGCCGGGCACAAGAACAGGTAGAATACACAAGTTTGACAGATTATCATTTGTACGTCCAGGTAATAAAATTGCAGGTATAAGATGTCACAAAGCGAACATGCTTACAATGAAAAGGTAAACAGACCTGGAGTCAATCCCAGCTAACAACGGGTGAGGGACGGGTCTCCAGTCACAAGGCTAACATAGAGACAAACAACCTTTCATTCTCACATTCACACACCTACGAGCAATTTAAAGTCACCGATGAACCTTACCGCCAGAGTTGGAGTTTTTAGGGTAACTGGTCATAAATTAACAAGTGCGCTGGAAGTAGCCAGATATTTTACTTATTTAGAAATGTTTATTCCACACTGTAAACGTAGTTCATTACATTAGATTAAAGTATTTCAGCATTATTAAAGTGAAAAATGGCCACCCTCCCTGGTGAAAAACATATATATATATATACTGTATATTATGATGTACATGTCAACATGTAAATTCTAACTTTTGTATACTGTTAGCTATTTCAATTCATTGTATATCATACATGAAATCTTAGTTTGGGAAGTAATTAGTAGGTACAGTGTAATAATGCATGCAGTAGAGTAACAAATTATATATTGTCTTAGAAATCTTATGAAAAGATTGACGTGAAATTGAATCAAAGAAGTTAATTACCTACCGTATTTTCCGCACTATAAGGCGCACTTTAAAGCCTTTCATTTTCTCAAAAAATGACAGTCCGCCTTATAATCCGGAGCGCTTTATATATGGATCAATTGGTTGATCCATACTGGTTGTACACGGCGCTCAAGGCGCTCTGCCGAACATGCCAAAGCTCGGTCTATGACGGCGAGATGCTGAGCGGCGCTCAAGCGCGTGAGATGTGGAGCTTGTTTCACGGCGCGTCGGAGAAACAAAGCTGTCGTTCTTGCCGAGCACTTCATGAGATTAAAGAGCGAGAGACGGTGCCCTTTTCTCTACAGTAGCTGAACCATCTTAACCGGGAAAATAAGTTATTCTAAAAGGGCCTTTGGCAGGCTGGAGAGCAGCCGAAGATTTAAGGCGTGGATGGCGAGGGGGGCGGCGGGAGCGGACGCACTTCGCAGCATCGATCGGACCCTGAAAGCACCGTCTCCACATCCCCACACCCCCCCATCCACCCGCCCTAACGTCAAAAGTTTGACTGCAGTATCTTATGCGCCTTATAATCCTTATAAGCCTTATAGTGCGGAAAATCCGGTAAGTATGGTGGTTGAGATCTAAGTTATGTTTGACTAATTTTTACCCAAATGATTAAGAAACTCCTTAGTTTCTCGAACAGACTGGTCACAGACAAGGTTGAAGGAAAAAACTGTTTGCTGCACTTCAACATTTCTTGAGTATGTGAGGGAGAGGGGGGGGTTCAGGGTTCATCTGTGTACGCCAGTGTGTGTATACTTTCACAACAAATCCCGAAATCTATATTAATAAGAATGTGTTTGAAACCGCTCATAAGATATTACATACAATGTCCCATCATGTAAAATACAGAAAGTATCTATCCATCTATCTATCTATCATATACAGGAGATCATATACAGGAGAGTTAAATGTCATGATAACCCAATCTGGGCACCCACTCTGAACCCTGTTTGGTATCTTTTCTCCAGTGAGAGGAGTAGTATGCTGTGCTCTGTATGTACAGCGCTCCACAGCCTGATGTTTCCACACTTTTTTGAACTTCTTCTGATAGGTAGATGCGTGGGCCCAATCCAACACTGTTCCTGGCCTTTTCACTGGTTCAACTGGAGCCCAAATCCTCAGCTCTGAGGAGCTTTCCACCAGCGGACCACAAGCGTGGCTGAAGAAGGTAACATCTACCTTTTGAAAAATATTGAGGACCAATGTCTGCTGGTTCACACAATTAGTGAGCTTGGGGGGTGGGGTTGATGATCTACTAGTAGAATAGCAGCCCCTATCTCAACCTACATTCCAAACATTACCGTACAAACATCACATGCAGGTTTCATGGTGATGCCGCCGGAGCTGCTGCACTCTTAAAGGCGCTTTGCTAACAGTGCTAACACTGTTAGCAGGCCCGAGCGGCCAGGGGGCAAATGCGCAAATTAGGAGGCCTAGACTCTTTGAGTGTGGCCTACGAAGCAGCCAACTCTCTATTGATCCAAAATACTTCTTCTCTATTATTCTCCTTCCGTACAAAACGTTTGGCACGCTACTCCTCACGCAGCGTTGCTCACACATGTCTCAAACTTCATCAAAGTGGCTTTTGGAATCCAACAGACTAAACATTTGGCCAGAGAGACCCGAGAGTCAGACAAGGGCCAACTATAGCTTCATAGGGTCCAATACAAATCGGTTTTGTAAACTGCCATTAGAGCCATATTTATAACCGCAGAGAAGTATAAATCACATGCACATGTGCGATAGAGTGGGTCTTGGGTCTCTTCAAATGTCATTATTTTGGGGATTTGAGTAATAGTTTCCTGGCTAATTTAACTTGTTTGAGGTGTGGATTCTATGTAAATCGCTGTCTCTCTCTCTCTGCCCTTTCAGCAGCTCGTTAATGATCGCAGGTGCGCCGTTACCGTGGTAACCCAGACGTGCTGCAGTCTCTTTGTCTGTGCTTCACAGCTGTTGCCTAATAGCTGATTTGTGCAGTCTGACAGGACCTGAAAGTCTTACAGAGGACATTTCGGAACCTCCCTTGCACCCCCTCCCTTACATGAGCCCCCCCTTTCAAACCCTGCATTGTTCCCCAACTCACAGATGTCCTCCCCTCCCTCGATTCCTTCCCTCCCGCCCCCCTTTCTAACCATGCTTCTCCCCCCCACCAGTCCCCCTAAGAGATTCCCACCCCCCCATCTTCCCTTCTATCCACCCTCTCAGCCATCTTATCTACCCCAATCCCTCATTTCCTTCTAATTCCACAGTATATGGGATATATTAAGTGGTCTAACAGGACATTTCCTAGAGGGCTGTGAACAAAAACATTTGAGAGCCCCGTTTCTCTGAATGCAGAAATGACTCTGATGATGGAGCTGCCTAGTTGGACACTACCCCACTATTTCTACACAAATAATTGTGGTTTGCTGCTTTATTGAAGTTGTGAGTCCCGTCTAAAGAAGCTCTCTGTGGTCTGATGTTTGTGAGGAACTCGAGTTGTTCCACTATGTATCATGAAGATTTATCTTTATTGAATGGTTCTTGCATGAGCCAAGCAGGTCAGAGGAGGAGTAAGCTGGTCTCCCATCGATCTTCTCTCCGATGATGATTTTATACTATGTTAAGTCCATGCCACCTTCTCACAATGTTATGTTTGTTGTCTTTAGTAAGGACTCAGTTCCTTAGAGCAGCTCCAGTTTCAGGAGGTGTCGGTGAGTTCCTGATGAGAAAGATGGGTTGGAAGACGGGAGAGGGCCTAGGAAGGAACCGCGAGGGTACCGTGGAGCCTATCATTATTGACTTCAAGGTTGACCGCAAAGGTATGAGGTATTGATTTTGATAATAGACCTCAACAATGTATGCCTTACAAGGAGAGGATAAGGAAGTCAAAATGATCTCAAATGAAAAAAGACACATCCCATGACTTCCTGCCTCTTGATTCCTCACTCCATAAAATCAATGCTAGTGCTTCATGTTCAGGGACATTTCTTATATGCATCTCAAGGGTCGGGGATGAAGGGGAGCTTTAGGGACAGAAGCAAATGTGTAACCTTGGTACAAGTAGCAAAAACAGATCTTGATCAGATGATCAAAGTTTGTGCGGCTTCGCATAATACAACATAAAAGATTGCAAAATATATACAAAAATTGTTTTGCTCAACTGACAGTGGTCATAAAATATGCCTGTTTGATAGGTCAACAAACAGCTGTGCCATACGGGATATTTAGTTTCCATCTCTTTAAAATGCCATTGTAGGAGGTTTGGCCTCATTAAGACCTGAACCGCTTTTACACCCCCACACCAGCCAATAGTGTATTTATTGGGTGGTGAATACATTGGTACCGGCTGTATCATACTGAGGTCAAAGACATTGTGTTCTCTAGATGATAAAGCTAGCAGACCCCTCTCACCCCGGACAATACCGGTTTGTATCCCTTCCATCTGGCAGGAGGCTGAGGCCACACAAGCAGTTTCTTCCCGTGGGCAGTCAGGCTCATTAACAGAGCCCGGGTCCCCTACTGACTGACTCTATTTAAACACACTTGGCACCTTTCACACACTTGTGTAAAGTATAGTATTGTTTTCTGTTTGCCTGTGCACTTTATTTTTTTTTGCATTTCATTTTATATTCTTTATACCCTTGTTGTTAATTTAATTGTAAATTATTCTCTTTTGTTGAATGCCACGTATGCACCACCCTGACCAATTCCTTGTATATCCAACAGAGTTGATCTTTTGATGTTTTGCAGGACTAGTCGCTGAAGGAGAGAAGCCACAGAAGCAGACAGGAGGACTAGTGGTAACCAAAGATCTGATGGGTAAAAGACCTTTAGCTCTGTACTTCATTCTTGACACTGGAGTTGTCTTGGATCAATTCTGCCTTTTTAATAGTTAGAGAGAAACTGGAAAAGGGAGAGAGAGGGGACGACAGGCTGGTTTTGAAGTGTTCAACATAAAAAAAAAATAAAGACGTGTGTGTGTGTGTGTATGTGTATATATATATATATATATATTTATATATATATATATATATATATATATACACCACCACAACAACAACAAAGAATAACAGAATAATAAAACTAACCCATTACTGTTGAGCAACCTGCAGGCATTTGTGGAATCTCATAGTTTCAAATTACCCTTTTAATTGTTAGCCCCGATCAACAGTATTGTGAATGTTTGAATATTCTGTTTATCAATTTTACGTATCATAGTAACTCTGCTATTGTGCCCTTTATCTGTGAACAGGGAAGCACCCGGTGTCAGCGCTCATCGAGTTGTGTAACAAGAGACGCATAATGCAGCCAGACTTTGTCATGGTCCATCACAGTGGTCCTGACCACCGCAAGAACTTCCTCTTCAAGGTCGGTCCTCTCGGTTCTCTGTGTCAGTCACACTCCATTTTACATGTTGGACCTTTGAGCTTTGTCAACACTGTCAAGAAATTCCACACTGGTCTTAGTTGATGTAGTAGATGTTTTGAGGCTAGGCGAAAGCTCTTTAAGGTGGCCAGGTAGTTGATCATTCAGCAAGCAACTAGGGCTGTGCGGTATGGCCAAAAATCCATATCACGGTATTTAGAAAGATTCTGACGGTATCCCGGTATATTTTTTTCAAGCTAACACATTAATTCATTGACGCCGAAAAGGACCGCTAGCTACCCGAACAGCTGTTTGCCACTGGCCGGCTGAGTTAGCTTCTTAGCGCGCTAGCTAAGCGTGTTAGTTTGTTGTGGCTGCTAGTGTTGCCACCAGCCCTACATGCAACATGATGAAATCAGGGAATCAGTCGTTTTCTATCGAATTCTATCTGATCAGATCGGAGTTGTGGACATATCAACAATCCAGCTATCCAACTCTGCTTCCACAAGTTATTGTGGTGATTTTCTCTTAATTAACAGTCTGTCATATTCTGAGAGTTTTGCATTGTTGGAAAATAAAAAAGCCAACCTTTTCTCTCTTAATAATGATTAAACTCACACTAGAATTAGTCTCCTGCAACAGCAGACAACAATTCCTTTTGGTTATTTCTTAATTTTCTTAATGTGTATTTACTAAGTGGCATGTGATGGGGTTGAAATCTGTGATTCCCATCCCATTGTGGAGATTCACTTCTTTGGTCTTTTTATTAGGCCTCATACCTTCCTGAATCCGCCGAGCTCACTGTATATAGTTGTTTTTAATAAATGATTGATGTTTTCTTCCCTCCCACACACTAATCTGTGATCTCATCGATGTTTTTATTGTAGACTATGATAGTTGACTTTTTAATCAACTATCCATATGTTATTTTGTCTTAAGGTCACAGTGAATGGCATGGACTACCAACCCCAGACAGCTAGTCCCAATAAGAAACATGCTAAGGCCATGGCAGCTACTGTTGCACTGCAGGCTCTGGGAGAGGTAATATTGAACAGAAGCAACTTTGTATACAAGCAACTTTTCAGTGAACAAAATGTAATTGGGGTCATCGCTACGACTGGTTGTAGAGGAACCCATTGTTTTTCAAAGAATAATTAATTAGGAACTGACCTAAAGTTGTGTGAAGCCCTATTGTGTTTCAAAAATGATTATTCTTTCGCCACTTCAATTACACTTTTAAGGCCTTTAACATCAAAATTTTGATATTTTAGGGGCCCCGCATTTGGGTATAAAACAATTGCTCACTCTGGAGATTTTACACATATATATACATATATGTGTATATATATATATACATATATATATATATACATATACATATATATATGTATATATACATATATGTATATGTATATATATATACATATATGTATATTTATATATATATATGTATATATATATACATATATGTATATGTATATATGTATATATACATATATGTATATGTATATATGTATATATACATATATATATGTATATGTATATGTATATATATATGTATATGTATATGTATATATATATATATATGTATGTAATATATATGTATGTATATATATATAGTGCACCCTTAAACGCACCCTAATTTATTAATATTTGAAGACTAGGGGGCGCTGCAGTTAATCAGTGATTATTATAGTGGATTTTTTGGTGATGTAAAAGACTGAACTCCTCACAGATGTTAAACCGGATTCTTTCAAATTTGGTCAGTGTAATCTTGAGACCATAAAAAATATTGAAGTCAGATTAATAAGATTGATCTCAAATGTTGTCAGAAAAGACCGAAGACCTTGATAATGTTGAAGATAAAGTTTGCAAAGCGTCATTCCTGGCGTCGCTCCGACGCTCTGTTCCTGTGTCTGGTGGGTTTGACATACAGTGCTCTGTAGCCCCCTAGATGGAAGGAGTCTGAACATGTTTTGTCTAGGGTGTGAAGGTCTGCAGGGACTTTCCCTGCCCGTTTCCTGACTGGAGCTGCACAAGCCCAGGATGGAGGGCCGCCTGAAGTCAATTCTCTCTGGAGACCTGATGATTTATTTGTAGTCCGTTCCTGTTTAGTGACCTATCCAAACCTCACAGTGATGAAGGAACAGAGAACTGGACTAAATAATGGTGGAATAGAACAGGACCTGCAGCTCCGGAGGGGGTGGAACTTCCTAAAGTGACACAGGAAGTACAACCTCTGCTGGGCCTTCTTGCTGATGGTGTCAATATTGGGGGCCCATTTCAGGTCCAGGGCTATGCTACATTCCTGAAACCTAAAGACTCCACAGCTGACAGTGTTGTTGAGTATGGTGAGGGGTGGCAACGTATAGAGAGATGCAGGCATCGGAGTTGGGGGTTCTTTCAAGCCAGTGGATAGCATGACGCATAGCCCAAATAATATAGTATTTAAATAACTAATATTTCACATAACTGATATGCACCAATAACTCCAAACCCACCTGGACTCCAACTAGCTTAATAACTAACTCATGGTCTTGGTTTAGATTTGAAGTGTTTTTAGGTTTGCTAACCTTGAAGTATCAGATTATTACGATGCCCATGAACGTTAAGCTCTTAATTTTTTCCCGTCTAGGTTCCGGTGGATGGACCAGGACTCTACACAGGCCCTGTCTTCACTGCTGCTTCTACTGGGCCCCTGTTCTCTACATAGACCTCCATGCAGAACTGGGACTGTAATACTCTACAGAGTTCAACTCTTTGACCAAACCATCTCTGCAGATGTAGGACGGAAATAATCCTACTGAATAACCGCTCAATTGTTCCCACTCTGATCACTTATTAATACAGTGTACTGAGTAACGAGGTGCTCTGGGTACAGGACAGAGACTGTGTCTTTGTACGGAAGCCCCCTGTGGCCAAATAGATACCCATAAAGTCACGTCTGTTAAAGTCACAATCCAGACAAGAAAATCATTTCTGCCAAATGTTTAGCATGGGGGGAAGTCATATTATAAATGGTATGTATATATCTATGTATGTACGTGTGTATGAATGTTTGATATAGTAGCATTTCAGCCTGATACATATTGATGATGTATATTAGCTGACCAGTGCGTGACTAACCGGTGGGTTTGTTGCTTGCAGCACAGCAAGGCTACGTCTCATTAGATGACTGAGTCTCTGATGGTCCTGATGTTGCATTCGGGACTTCTGCCTCCTCTAACAAAGTGTTTCTCAAACGAGGCTTTTATGAAACTAACGCTCTAAAATGTGTAATCTGAATAAAGATTGTATTTATGTAGTAGAGGAAGCTGCATTATGTTTTCTGGCAATAATGCCTTTGTTGAATTAGGGCTGTCAGTGAAGCCCCCCCTCCCTGTTTTAAGACTGTAGGATGCAGTCCTCCATCCCTGCTCTTCAGGGGCCTCATTTATAAAACCTTGCGTAGGATTTGTGCCAGAAGTGGCGTACGGATGAAACATAGGACGTGCATACGCACAGAAATGTTCAGACTTATAAAACCGTGCGCACGCACGTCCTACGCAGTTTTCCCTTAATAAATCACAATCACTTCTAAATGCAGCGCAGCTTTTGCGGCTTCATGTCACGCCCATAGTTGCCCATATATAGTCTGTGGAACGCCCACAAATGAATATTCATCAATTACGAAATCATGACAAACATAGAGGAAAACGAAGAAACGTAACTTCACTCAGTGTGAAGTTGAAATGATCATTGTCGAGGTGGAAAGGAGAAGTCAAATGCTTTTTGGAGGGCACAGTATGAACATCACTGATGCCAAAAAGGCACCTGAGTGGCAAAAGGTTGCAGAGCAACGCTGCAGCCTCACAACCTCGGACTGTGGCCGAAATAAAGAAAAAAGGGTCTGACATCAAAGTGGATGCAAAAAAGCGTTTAGTGTGCCATAGCCAAAGTGTGTCTGCCACGGGGGGACACCGGAGCTGTCCCCTCTTGATGAGAGACTGGCGGCAGTGATTGGGGATCGGGGACAGGGTCTGGGCCAACATCGGCGTCAGGGGGGGTCGAGGTTCACGCTTCACGTTTGGAAGCTGTACCACATTATGTAGCACAGCACACGCCAGCACGATTTTGCACACCTGTTCAGGAGTAAACAATAACCTCCCTCCATTGCAGTCGAGGCAGCAACATCTGCCCTTAAACAGGCCGACGGTGCGCTGCACTACAGCACCAATCCTTCCATTTGCCACATCTTCTTAAGAGCGCAAGATCAGCCATTTCGCGTCATTACGCATTGTGACGGCATCGTGGCGTTTTATTACCGTCCATTTGATCGCATCTGACAAGCAACAGCTGTGTTTTGAGGATGAATTGCATAACATGCCAATATTATTGCAGAACATATTTCACTTTTCTTTTTGAAAATGTGTTAATTTGTATTTGTTTGTTTTACGCTGCAGATCGATCAAACGGGTGTTCGTGTTATTTATGAGAGGCAGTATTGGCATTTCTTTTACACAACAGTCTAGTTTTACACACTTTCACACACGTTTGCGTGTTTCTTGCATTTGCCGACGGTTCTCATTTCACCCGTTTTTGTGCGTACGCGTGGGTCCGAGCTTGCGTGAAGGACCGCACATTTTTCCGTCAAGTTAGCTTTTTATAAATACCAATTATTGCGTAGAGAGCGACGTTCGCCTTCTTTTGTGCGTACGCAACGTTTATAAATGAGGCCCCAGGAGTTTTGGCAATTGGCAGGCAGCATATGCACGTGCCTGACCACCCAGCAGCAGACCCCGACGACATATCCTTGACCGGCTTCCCACCTTCAAACACTGGTTTGATACTTGATACAAGGAAAGGCATGATCACTGAAACTGGGTCGCCGCTACTGATCTCTGCTGCCACCCAGACCACCGCTTCTGTGAAGGCATCAATAGCTCTTTTACTCTAATTCACGCACATATATATTATAATATTGTGCTACTGTTAATTTTGACCCGTCTTTGTGACGATTGGTCATAATAGATATCACGGGTGCTGACTAAATGTGAAGAAAATCTTTTATATCGGGACTATAATTATGCAGGAGTAGAGATTATTCCTAATTCGACCACTCAATCTTATTGGAAGGGTCTTTGGTGTTTTTCCACCTTGGATCCTATTTCTATGTTGTAGTGACTGATGGACACAGCAATGTGTGCAGTAGGTCCAGGATTGAGGGAGAGCAAAGAACGGCCTGCAATGTCATTTTTCGACGTCCACTAAGGGTGCTTGTTGATTATTTTTAGTTGTGACAAGATTATAGAAAGAGAAAAAAAACATTTCACAGCCTTGGTGGGGGACGTCACCATGAACACACACCGTATTTTATAGTGATTCTGTCCCACTTACACCATCAGGCTACTGTAACTACTCACTAGAGCACAAAGTGGCCCAAAGAAATCCATGTTGATGCCAAACTAACTTAAATTATATTAATTATATGACATGCTTTTGTTTTCTTTATCAACGTGTTTGTTGTCTAAGAGAATTTAACAAAAATAAATCCCGAAAATTCCCTGTTTGTGAAAATATGACAGTTGTTTACTTAGGAGATTGTGTTCATTGTTAACCATCCAACTCAAAAACTGATTGGAAGGTATCTGGATTTGCTTACTTTTGTTCAGAAGGTTCAGATCAGCCTTTAATCAGACCGACACTCCTTTATTTGCTCTACTGCAGAGCCATTCGCTTTGAAACCATCAAAAGTATTAACACACAAACATTTTCCATCGTCAACAGGCTAACCAACCCCCCTGTGTCAGTGGCTGCTGAGCTCCAATGCACTTGGGCATGCAATCAATCAACCTACTTCAAAAGGTTGAGAATACTTTGTGTCTGTAGCTAGAACGAACTAAAATGACTTGTGGTGTTCCTCAACGTTTAATTCTGGGGCCTCTCCTGTTTGACATCTCTGTGCTTCTACTAGCTTATAATACGGTAAGAAACAAAGTATGCTATCAAAATTATGCAGACGACACACAAATCTTAATACATCGCCAGGGGACTATGATCCCATGTAAGGGTTGGGTAGATGCATTAAACAAACAACTGGATAAAAGATAAAGGAGAATCAATTGTTTTGGGGGCCAAAGACGAACGATTGAAAGTTAGCGCTCAACTTCAATCGCTGATGTTGAAAACCACAAACAAAGGGAGAAATCTAGGCGTAGTTATTGATTCAGACCTCACAATTACAAAATCAGCCTACTGTCACCTGAAGGATATATTGAGGATTAAAGGACTTATTTCTCAACAGGATTTATAAAAACATGTCCATGTATTCATCTTCACTAAACTGGCCTATTGTAACTGTGTTCACAGGTTGCTGTAAAAAGTTAGTCAGACAACTGCAGCTGATTCACAACGCTGCACCTCGAGTCCTCGCTAAATCCACAAAAGTGGATCCCTTCACCCCAGCTCATATCTTAACACTGGCTTTCCGTTCAACAAATACTTGACTTAAAAATCCAGCTGTTGGTTTATAAAGCACTGAAAGGTTTAGGGCCAAAATACATATCTGACCTGCTGCTACCTTATGAACCATCCCGACCCCTCAGGTCATCTGGGACAGTCTCCTTTCTGTTCCAAGAGTCAGAATCAAACATGTAGAAGCAGCGTCACTTTTTTTTATCTGGAACATTCTCCCAAAAGATACAGGTCTTCTGAGACTCAGTGGCTTCAAAATAAAACTGAAGACTTTTCTGTTTGCTGTCTTTAATTAAACCAGATCTAAGAATAAAGTGAGTGTTTTTCACTGTTTATTGCCTTAACTGCACTGCAACTTCTAGTATGGTTCATTGTGTTAATGCCTGTTTTTACTTTTATTTTGCTTTTTGTTTTAATGATTTTAATTGTTTTATGTGAAGCTCTTTTTATTGCCTTGTTGTTGATGACACATCACTCTTCAAGTCTTGAGTCTTTAAAATACGGTCAAAGCCATGTCTCAAATTTTTGAGAGAGAGAGAGAGAGAGAGAGAGAGAGAGAGAGAGAGAGAGAGAGAGAGCACACTATGTTTACCACCCTCCTACCCCCCAAATTTGCACCATTTTTGAAGAACAAGTGGAAAGGATAGCATCAAACAGACATGGTAAGTTCTTCTCATCATTTTCTGACAGATTGAGGATCGATTGAGATGACTATGGCACTATATCAGTGGCTTTTTCGTCAAACATAACTTGATAATATAACTTAATTTGTAAAACAGTTTTACATTCTAGAAGAAGAATTGTAAATAAGGAAGTACAACAAATCAACTGACAGCATTGAACTGCCTAACTGGTTGGTGGTGTTTTTGTAGGAGATAGTTCTAAATACTAATGCAGCTCTTGCGACTCAGGATTCACAAACTTTGGTTCTCTTGTGAAGACCACGTTGAGAGTCACAGTATTCTAAAGTCAGGTTCTCTCACCAATGGCTTTGTTGAGATAGCTTGCTTTGATTTGATTGCTTCTCATGCCAGAGGGTTCAGAAAGAGAGCTCTGGAAACAACTCAGAGATTTAGCAACATGGGGAATCATTGGCATCATGAGACAAACTACAAGAACAAATGTGTCAATATATCTTTCAAATCATTGGACACTGAAATCAAAGAACTCAGGAGAGTGGTATGTTAATGTGTTATTAAGTGTGGATTCTTTAGGAATAGTTTACTGCCCCTTGCATGTTGTCTTCAGTTGCTTCAGTTGCAGGTGTATTACAATTGATATGCTCTGGTGTTAGTTGTATAGTCATACTTTATTAAGTGAAGGCCATATGTGTTTCCATTATATATTCAATTAGTATGTGTTTATTGCAGTACGGATTTATCAACAGCTGCCTCCAGTCTCTGGTAATGGAAAGGTTTGGCCAGGACACCTGGGACAAACTCAGGTCTGGACAAACACACACTTGTATATACATTAATACTGTATGGTCAGTCCTGCTTTAATAAGGCACCAGGTCGTTGCATAGTTCTCTCCCAGGGGTCCAGAATTCCTTCATGACCTACACGGTTTACGATGACCAGCTGACCCTAAGCCTGGTGCAGGAGGCCTGTTCTCTGCTGGGTAAGAGTTCACCTTCCTCTATGTGCAGGAACAGGGACTCCAGTGTTTCTAATCATATTGCCATTTCTGATGCTATAAGCTACCATTGCTGTTTTTTCTGTGGTGATTTATATCAAGAGGGAAGGCGGTGGAGGGGGCGGTTATCATATCTAGATCTATCTATCATATGGTCATCCCCCCCACATACACACCATTAACAATTACATCCACAGTCCCCTGCTGGTTCTGTTGTTGTT